CCGGCTGATGGTGTCACCTGCAACTCAGCTGGTCAAATCGCCGACGGCTGGTTTTAGAACATAAAGCACGTCACCTGGCTTGTAGTGAAGTCCACTGGTCAAGTCAAAATGGCCGCAGATGGCATGTTCGCTTGCCACGGCAGGTGCTCCGTCCACGCCAAGCCCTCTGATTCCGTTCTCACGGTGTGTCGGTTTTGGACGATGGGTCGCTGCTGCTTGCTGTATGTGCTCCCACACACACATTCTTACTGACTGATTAATTGGCGCTGGTTATTTATATTATTGTGGTGTATTTATTATGAATACAGCCCATCTGATGCTCGTTTTGTTTCTACTACAAATGCAGCTGTAGCCAGTATCTCACTATAGAAGCTACAAATTATATTCAGCTACAAAATACGTCTGAAAAGGAAATCAGAACAGAAGTACAGAGAGTTGTTGCATAGAGATGGTACACAGTCTCATCTAGTTGCATTGGTGTGAACTTGCAGTTTAATGTTGCTGTTGCAGAACTGTGCATTGCAAGTCATTAGTTTCAACTCATCTCGTCATGAATCTTTGGTCTGAATTGGACCTTAGAGTGGAGGCAAAGTCAGACTTAAGATGGAAACGGAGTTTAATAAGTTGACAATTCCATCTGATATCACGCAAAGGAATTCGTCTACCACATTGTCCCTTCCTTCTCGCCAGGGAAGGACAATTCAGGACAATTCATTTCATACTGGATGACATAAGCTGTCATGTCACAAATCGTAGAAATGTTTACTAAAGTGTGACAACTTTTTGTACACGGCCTCTTTTTTTCCCATCAGGAAGTACATTATCAGTTGTCTTGCTATCTATTAAGAATGAACTGCAGAGGCTTAGAAAGTCTCAGTCAGGTTCTTCTTCTTCAGTCTTCATCAGCAGAATGAGTCGGCTCAGTTGTCATGAAACTGTAGATGTTCAATCTTTCCATTACTTTTAACACTGGAAGTACTTTTGCCCATATAATTATGTTGTGACATGTTTTAGCTTGTTTAAGTCTACATTGAATTTAGCCTCCATTAAATACTTCCCACTGTAGCACTCCTTTTTGTGTTAAGTCTCCTCTGTCTTCATTCCTCATTTGTCTCTTTACCCATCTACCTCCTGCTCACCTGTTTCCTCCATTTCTCTCTATAAGCCTGTTTTACTGTTGCTTTCATCTCACTCCACTTTTTATTTCATTTCATTTCTCTCCGGGCCTTCAAATGAGCCTCCTGGTCCGCTTGCCTGCTTCCGGCCTATCTCCTCATCTCTGCAGCGCTCCTCTCTCTGTCTCTCCCTCTCTCTCTCCTCCATCTGTCCTTTCCTCTCTCGCTCTCTCGGCGCTGTCCATAAATTGTTCGGTATTTACAGTATGTGGCCAGATGCCAGGTTTCCATTAGGTGCTTCGTTCCCCGGAGACGGCGCCGGTGGCCTGGGATGTGTTACCTCTGGATGGAGAGCAGGAGGAGGGTGAGGGGGAGAGGAAGGAGTGAAAAGGAGAGGAAGAGAGAGTGGCAAGCAGCAGTATTTAAGGGAGGGAGAGAGATGGCGTGATAGTGAGGGTCAAGTGAGAGAAGAAAGAAAGATAGGAGTGCAGTCAAGATAAGACAGATAAGAAACAGAAAGCTGGGGGAAAGAGAGGACAGGAAGGTAGAGGAACACTGCGTTTACATGCACTGTTGGTTTTCTGAGCTTATCTGATGAGAGCTGCAACGAAGGATAATAATAATAAAATAATAAGACATTTTATTTATAGAGGGCTTTTCATAGTACTCACAGACACTTAACATTAGTTAATTGATTATTGATTAACAAATGCCCAACAACAATGTTTCCAGAGCCCAAGACTATGTCAAATCATTTTGATTAATCAACAAATAATTTCAGCACCAATGTGATTTTGTAATTATCATGTATTAAAAAGAACAGGTGTCAATAATCAGGGTAAAAATGAGAGAAACCTGATTTCCTCAGCTATATTTCTGACAATATCTTGGCATGTGACAGCAGAGCGGTGGAAAGAAAGGAACGATCTACCTATTCTCACTCCCAACTTATCAAATACCGATGCTAGGTCAGTGGCCCTCGGCATCAGATACTGACGCACCAAGGCTACACCAGACCCTGTCATTATTTGACATTTTGAGTAACAGTGGTAGTATAAAGGTTTAGGATGTATGGTGGAGGGAGGGGTGGTGGATGGGTCAATCAGGCACAGGACTTTGACCCAGGAGACTGCTGTTAAGGGTTATCATGTCCACCTCATCAGAAACTGGGGAGGTATTAAGAGGAATATTGGATTTCTCCGTAACGCTGACTAGCCCATTAGCTAACGTTAGCTTCGATAGCAAAACAAACTGGAGGAAACCATTCAAGTGTCGTCCTCCTTTGTAAGATTGGCATTGCAACCAACCACAAAGCTTCCTGTGACATCATCCATTCACTGAGCGAGAGCATATGGGTCAGCCAGTCTGGTCCCATCGGTCGGTGTCTCGTAGAGTGAGTGACCTGACATGGTGCGTTCATAAATTCAGTCTGACGATGAGAGCCTTGTTGATCGAAGAAATTAAGTGTTGTATTAATTAACAAACGCTCTGCACTCTGCTGTTCCGCTGCTCCGTCTCCACAGACACAGTGCCCAGAGTGTGCTCTGCCACTCAGAGAGTGCAGTGCTCTGGTGACCGAACGGTACATTCAGACAGTACTCCGGATTTACAAACGGTCCAGTTTGTGCCAGAGTGCGCTCTGGCACAAATAAGTATTTCTGACTGCACCACTCGCATCATCTTCCTCCATTGTTTGAAACAAGCCCACCGAACTTGCTAGCTACCCACCAAAAACATCATATTATTTACTAACAGTAAAAGGGTCTTTATAAGTCAATGTATCTGATCCCGATCATTTGAAAATGTTTGGATCTGTCCCGATCCTAATCTTTGAGTTTGGATCGGGAGACCCTTAGTTCCCATAATGCAACTCAATAGCATCTTTCCTTAAGACTCTCCTGCCTGGTAAATGTGTGTTTTCAAACTCCACATCTCTAGGCTTTCTGTCAAAAAAATTGAACTCTCAAGCCCAACCTGAGGTAACCCTGATGACATTATTGAGGTTGTTGTCTAATAGGCTCCCACCAGGACCACAGACCATATCATACAGCCGTTCTTACATGTTTAGTATTACTCTTTTAAATGTGTTGTGTTACTCTCTATGACAAGTAAACAGACTTTCATGTGTAATATCACTAGAGTGCCCCTATAAAATAAGCCATTCTTCAAAATAAGGTTTGGGATAGGGGAGAAATCTGATTACCGGTGTAACCAGGCTACTACAGTTCATGTAAACACACTGTACGACTTCCTGCATAACGTGATTTCTCCCAGTAACCCGGTTTCTTCTGTGCATGCAAATGTACTTAGACAGAGAGCCGAGTGTGGGAGGGAAGAAAAGGAGTACAGGAGATAAGAAACAGAGTGATAGGGAGAAAGAGAGGGTATGGAGGTAGATCAAAAAGAGATATAGGGAATGATGAGGGAGATCTAGAGGAGGAGGAGGAGATGTATGGAGGAGACAGCTGAAAAAGCGAGAAGGGGAGGGAGTAATGGATTGTAATGAAGAAAGAAACAGGAAGGATGAGAGAGCGGTCTTAGAGGGTTTTGGACTAGGGCTTCTCTTCTTATCTGCTTTATCTCCTCCGGTTGTTCACTGCCGGACTCTCTCCCTCCCTTCCTCCTTCCCTCCTTCCATCTGTCAGACAGACAGCTGCTGGCCGACTCCGTCTGTTGTTGTTCACTCCGTCCAGTCTCCCTGACTCAACCCGAGCCCTCAGTTCCTCCATCGCCTTCCAAATATGCTTTTATATTTCACTTCCCCCTCCGACCCTGTCATCCGCCTGGAAGAACTTGCAGTTCTCTGCAATTTGCTCAGGCGGTCAGAAAGTTAAAAAGGTCCTCCGTGTGGGTTACATGAGAACATCAGTGACATCAGCGCGCAATCAGAGTTTGTTTGGTCCGTTGCATTTATTGTTGGCGATGTGTTTGTGTTAGAGCTGCCACAGATTAGAACTGTATGTTATTTCAGATGATCCAGAGTGAGTTAGAGCTTTATATTAGACCACTGTTGATCATTTATTAGTGTTTGGCCTCTTATTATTGTCCACTTCCAGTTTAATACATGAGATGCATTTTGTTTGATTACATGTTATTGTGTGATTGATTAATACCACTGAGGCGCAGTTTAGCTCAGCATGTTGATTGGATTCTACACAGATTTGCTCTCTTCTTCTTCTGCCCTTCTTTTTCTAACTACTTCTTCTATTTCTACTACTACTACTGCTGCTACCACTTCTTCATCTACTAATACTACTATTACTACTTCTACTATTACTTTTTCTTCTACTTCTATGGCTTCTACTACCACTACTTCTTTTTATTCTGATTCTATTATCAGATCTAGATCTACTACTACTCAGTAGTAGTAGTAGTATCAGTCTCATCTTTGTCTTCTTTATATTTCTTTGTCACCTTCTTCTACGTATCTTTTTATTTTTTCTTTCTCATCATTATTTTTATCTTTTAACAAGAAGTATTTATTCATAAATACTTTTGTTCTGTGTTTCTACATACATAATGGTCAAATGCTGCTTTTATTAGTACATAAACAGTTTCTTTTCAGTGGCTTCAATTAAACAAACCTGTGTTAACTGGGCCTTTAAATTTGATTTGGTTAAATCCTGGAGTACTGGATGCTGTGTTCATATAACTTTGATGTTACATGAAATGTTGAGTTTTATGAGATACTGATTTTTGATATACTGATAGTTTGTGTATTTGGTGAAAGTATAGATCAAAGGGTCTTTATTGCGCATTTCATCTCTTGTATTTTTACATGCATCAGGCTGCTTGTCATGGCTCTGCAATAAGAAACATTTCTAGTCTTCAACTTAAATAATTAATTCTTAAGTTTTCTGATTTTACCTTATCTCTGCCTTCCAGGTCTGCTGGTCAGATGTAGGCGGGATGGAGGAGGTGAAGCTGAAACTGAAGCAGGCCGTGGAGTGGCCTCTGAGGCACCCCGAGGCCTTCACCCGCATGGGGATCCAGCCACCCAAAGGAGTCCTGCTGTACGGGCCACCAGGCTGCTCCAAGACCATGATAGCCAAGGCCCTGGCTAATGAAAGTGGGCTCAACTTCCTAGCTATTAAAGTGAGTTTTTATTATAATAGTCAGAATTATATTTTCTCAGTATGCTTTATTTACACAAGAATTATAGCACTTTTGTTTTTCTGCTGTGCAGTGTATGATAAGTTCAAATGTAAGGAGGTGTGGGCAAAAGGCTGTTGTGTTCCCCCCTCTTTTTTTTACATAAATATGAACAAATGATATACTACAGGTGTTGGTTGGGTGATCTGCCAAAACACAGCGTATGAATCATTGAAAAAAATAATGGAGCTAATCCAAAAACTCACTTAAAAAAAGCAACCAAGACTTTAGCTCAGTAATGATTCAGGTTTAGTCATAGCAAACATGCCGTGAGCAAGTTCTCAGAGGTGATGATATTAACTTGATGACAGATGATTGTTGATTCAATCTCACCTCACGGTCGAGTCCATTTTAGCATCTCTGCAAATCGCCATTTCCCCCAGACTTTACCTACAACCATCTAACCAGAAATGAAAATAATGTGATATAAAACACACTTCTCACTTGTCCTTAGTAGAAGTTAAAAGAAGATAAAATAAACTGAGCATTTTGTATTTCAAAATTGAAGAGTGCTTGAACCGCTGTAACCTCTAACATACAGTTTCCCTTTAGCTTTACGTTTGGAAAAAATTATTACACACTGACTGAAGGACAGTATCTATGACAACCCCTCCCACTCTGCCTGTCAGTTGTATTGCTTTGCTGTTTGTGTCTGCAGATACTGGGATTTGTCTGGTAGATACAGCTCCTCTTCTTACTGGACTTGGGGCTGGGTTGACTTTTGAGGAACAAAAACAGCTTCTCCTGCTACAGTTACAACAGGAAAAGGAGTATGCTTTGGAGTTAGAAAAGTTAAGACAGAATGCCCGTTTGCGTGAAGCTGAACTAGCCAATGTTCAGGCAAGACGGCAATTAGAGTTGGAGCGCTTTGAGTTGGAGCTTATGAGTGAGGGAAAGCTTCAAGCTGAGCCACAGATGAGCAAAGAGTCTTTGGCCCTTTTTAGATAGGAATTGTGCAAATTTGCAGGAAAGCCCAATCACTCTTCTTTCAGCATTGGCTGGGAAGTGTGGCAAAATGCCGTCTGCCTACTTTTGTTCATACAGAATGTGCGTTTTCGGGGCAATGGGGGGCGTGAGCAAGTAACAAAATGTGTAGCTCAACGTGTGACGTACACAATGACATGGGAGGGAAGCTGCGGCTGGTCAGTCCTTTGGCGATTCTTTCCTAAGTCGGCCCATTCGTCACCGTTCCTGTCACTTGATAGTTAATGGCCTCTTCTTTTGCGAGGACAAGGAGGGCGCGCAATTCCTTGTCTCCCCAGTTGCTCATCTTTACAGTGTCTGTCAGGTTTGTGTTTCCCTCTTGCTACTAGCTGCTCACTAATTCCTGCTATCAGCTGTTTCCTGTTTATCCACCGCCAGTGGCTCGCACGTGCGGCGTCATCAACAGTTCCTCCCACAAGTCATCAACAGCCCCTCCTGTTACGGAAGGCCGCCTGGGTCTGTTTAAACTGAAAGGGTTCCGCCAATATGACTACCCTACAAGGTGGAAAATTGGGCACCTCGGATCAACTCGCCAGTCCGGCTTTGTGTGTCTAAACGGCCCAGCATTCGTGGAAAATCTGGCAGTGTAAAAGGGGCTTCACATTCACACCTACGGACAATTTAGAGTCACCAATTAACCTGCATGGCTTTGGATTGTGGGAGGAAGCCGGAGTACCTGGAGGAAAAGCGCACTGACAGGGGGAGAACATGCAGACTCCACGCAGAAGGGCTCCCCCACTCTGGGGTTCGAACAAGTTCTACTAATGTTTACTTTTGATTGCATGTGTGCGTATTACATCATGCGTCAGCAGCCCGCCAATAGGCCGCACAGCTGTGGGAGCTAACAACAGTTGTTTTGAGGTATTTCAGATTTCTCATATAAGTATTTATTGGTTACATTTTGTTTTACAGCGTTAGGAAAGCAATGTTCCAGTCAACCCTGATGATGTCTTACACATAAAAGCATGATCCCAGTCACTTCCACACAGTGAGGCACACAGGTTATTAATAAAACACTGTTATTAGATAATCCCGGTATCAGCCAATAGCCTTAGCCCAAGTCTTGGTACCAGGATTGAAAAAGTTGGATCGGTGCGTCCGTATTTCACAAACATTTCCCCCGAATTTTAGCCCGATACACGACTGGTGAGTCAAGAGGATTTGCACAGATTAAAAATTAACTCACACACACCGTATATCCAATATATCAATGTAGTGGAGATGTTTCCCTGATGACCTGGAGGCGGTCTGTCTGCCCAACTTCCTCTGCAGAAAGCTTCCCTGTCTGACCTTTGACCCTGTGTTTGTCCCCTCTCATTCATCACCCCATCCTCTCTGCCACCCCCTCTGTCACCTGCACCTCTGCCCATTCAGGCCGGGCTGACAGAGACTGATTGATCAGCTTGTTGAATTTTTGATCAGTAAACATTTCCTGAGCTGTTGCCATGCAAGACAGAGAGCTTCGACACGAATCTCTCAACCGGGGTCTTTGGGCCATCTGCAAATGCGGGTGTGATTTGAAGGCTTGTTTTTGTTTGTTGTGTTTTATTTCGCTTTATGATGTTGTGGTATGAACAAGTCCTCCAATTACGTCTAAACTTTAGTCTTATCCAGACCAAACTGAAAGTGTGATTGTACAATTTTAAAGAATGGAAAAGAGGTCATATTTTGGGGAGAAATGCTGAGGTCAGAGGTCAACAATCACATGAACAAATTTAACTATAATCTTGTTTTCAAATACACCTTGGAAAAACATATTTCACAAATGTACCAAAGCTGAAATTCAAAATGTTTTCACTTTCATTCTGATTTTAGAGACATTATCATTGTTATTGAATGATGTTTTGTGTTTGACACAAAGGTGATTACTAAAAGAGTTGTACTATAATCTTGTGCAGCAGTATCTGCCTCAGGAAAAGGTTAAAAAACATCCTGTCCCTCCCGCTGAAAGCTGCTCTCCAGCATCTGAAATAACAGTATCAGGTTTTTCCAGTGCAGCGGTTGCTTTGACATAGATACGTTATCCAGATTTAAATGTGGATACTTTAAGGCTCAGCCTGTTTCCTCTGTGTGAAAAAGCCCTATTATCATCTTGTCAATTTCAGTTTCCTCCCAGTGCAGCCACTCAAACACGCTCACATCCGCGCACCAACACACACACCAGCACACACAGCTCATATCTCTACACTGTCAATGGTTTTAAACTCACCATGTCCAGCCCTTGGCTCTGCCTCAGAGAGAGGAACCTGGGATTAATGAGTCAATCTCCACACTTACTGCAGGAGACAAAAGGGCTGGGAGTTAAGTGTCGTCTCCTCCGTCAGCCCAGAGGTGTTGAAAGGGTGGATTGCAGGGGAGGAAGTTCTTCTGAGGGCTGAGTGGATGTTTATCTGCCTCAGAGTGAAGGAGAGAAGAGGGAGGAATGGTCTGAAGGAGAGGGAGAAGACAGTGAGGGGGCTTAGGAGGTTCAGTTAGTAGCAGTAATAACAGTTTAATTGGTGGTGGTAGTAGTGCATGTAGAGTTCAGTGGTGTGGTCGAAGCATGGTACGCTTTCTTTCTGTTTCCACTGTGAAAAGTTGTGGATGGTACCAGTGGACCTGTTCCCTACCGGTAGGGACCTGTTCCCTACCGTCATGTTTGGTCCCCCCTCTGTTGGGGTACCTAGCACACAGATCTGGTACTAAAAGGTGGAGCTGTGAACACTGCAGTCTGAGTCTGAGTTGTGTCTGGTTTTGAGGCTCATGTAACCACTGTTCATACTGTGGAGAGTTTTATTAGTAAACTGTAACTATAAAATGAAAGGATGTTTTGCTGCCTCTCACAGCAGCTGGAGTCTGAGAAAAAATAACTTCATTCACTGGGCCGACTGCCGGCAACTTTTAAGGGGGAACGTTGACTTGTAATGTTACTCAATGCATGAGTTGACAATGAATCCATCAGCACACCTTAAATTTCACTGTGACAACTTTGACCATTCAATTAGTTTTTATATGACAGACACTTTTAGTAATGAGTGGATCTTCAAGTATTTATGTGTATTAATTCCGACCAGGACGGCATATATTCTAATCCTCACTCTGAGGAAAAAAAAAGAGTTGCAGAGCATCATTCCTGTGGGCTACAGCAACACTAAACCCCTGAGCTTGCCTGAGAAGGACTAAATGCACAAAGCTGTTATTTTTAAATGTCCCATGGAGAGAGACTCTCACTGTAGCCTGTTCTACTTTGTTCTGAAAATGTCGGCGTGCAGCCTCGTTCTGTGGACGATAAACAAGGTGCAGACTTGAATCTGTGTCACCAGTGATGAGGAAATTCAGTGAGTGACAACAGCCCCGCCCACATTTAAGAGAACTGTTTGCAGTGGAAACACTAGGGTCTAGGTACCATGTCTGAAGGGTTACTGTTGGTTCCTAAGGTACTATACTGAAAGAGTTTGGTGGAAACTGGGCTTTTGAAAGGTTTCCTGTCCACACTGAAATGTCTAAACACTTGGAAAATGGCTTAATCTCCTCTTCCCCCTCTTTGTCAGCAAAGAACAGATTTTTGCGTCAGAGCCATTGTGGTCAGACAGACAGACAGACTGGTCATTACACTGAGTCCGTCATCACTTATATTGTGTTTCACTACATCTGAATTCATTCTTTAGTTGTTGTCAGTGATGCATTTTTCCATTTATGCTGTCAAATGATTCAACACATAAAATGATTTGATCAAGGCTCATAAGTTCTACCTCTCAACCAACAGAAAAATTATTAAATTCAAGAAAGCATCTGGCAACAAAAATGATGTATTCTGACATTGAAAGTGAAAGACCAACATAAATTACTTAACTGCCACTGCTAATGTCAGGTATACTTCATATCTGTGAAAGCTCAGTTTTTACTGTCCACAATCAAACATGAGTGAAAACCCTGGTATTACTGTCAGGGTCCCCAAGGTCATGAAATTCCTGGAAATTTATGAAATTAGAATAACTTTTTCCAGTCCTGGAATGTTTTGGAATTAATAGAATGTTTTGGAAAAGCTTAAATATACATTGTTTTGGCTATTGTTTGAATTATGTTCATAAAATACCCAAAAGTTGAATAACATCATGCGTGCAGTGCTGCGCTTCGTGACTGTTGATGAGATCTCTGGTTTTTTGTCCCCTAAAAAGAGGCGCAACCATGACATTTTGAGAAGTACCAGTATGTGCCAGTCTGGTCGATTGGCATATGCAGCTAGTTGGTGGCAGGAATGTCTAACTTGGGTGTAAAGACAGTAAGCCATAGCAGTTTGATTATCCACAAATGCCTGTAAACTGCCTGTTCATAGTCTTACCCATTTAAAACTACTGAAATTAAGTCATGAAGATGGGGTGAAATATTAAAGAAAAGTAATGGAAAAGTTTTTAAATTCATGTGTAAAAATGTGGGGGGACTGTGTACTATTGTACCTGCAGACATGTCAATGCTGATCCACACTGTGGGTAAATTTCTGTAATTGCCAGCTTAACCACAGAGTGTTACACACAAACATGAAACAGTACACAGTGTACAGTGAACACAGAAGCTGTGGAATTACACCACACACACACCCTGCTGCCCTTCATGACATTCTCACGCTGTGTTATCACCGTTTCACTGTGTTCCTCTTTTTAATCTCCAAAAGACACCACAGAACAGCAGCTGCCTCTCTGGTCTGTCAGAATGGTAGCTCTCAGTTTTAGAATATCTACAGACACAATGCCACCAGGTGATACTTCACAAACATGACCGTGATTACTCATGAGCGTCCTGACGATGATGCCAATTATTTACCACTGCTTCATATCAGATACTTTAAACTACTTTAAACATAGCACCTGGGCTTGATTATTGATTACTATGATGCAGGACCTCATTATTTCTAGTTGTCAGTATGTCAAATTATCAACTCAATCACCAGAATAAATGTTGGCATTATATGTTTATGCAAGCTTAGCATACGTTGCATGTGTATATTATTACCCAGCAGATATGTTCAAAACTTAAGATTTCTTTATGTTTCAACAATGCTGTGGTTAACGTGGTTATGTTAAGGCACAAAAATCACTTGGTTAGGAAAAGGTGTTTTGGTTTAGAACACACCCACACTCACTGCTGGGAACACTGCAAGATGTCGCTAAAACGCACCCAGTTTTGGTGGCTCAGACACCTCTAGAAACAGCCTTATTTGTTGCATAAAAACATCAGGGTTTCGGAGGCTTAAATGCTGCTGGAAATCGCGCGATGTGTCACAATTAGTGGCTTAAACACCACCAGACAAGCTGTTGGAAATGGCAATACTTGTCACTAAAAAACACCAGGGTTTGATGGCTCAAACACAGCTGTAAACACAGCTGGAAAAGCAAGTGGAAACGCAGCTGAAAACGCAGCTGGAGATGCAGCTGGAAATGCTATGTTGTGTCTCTATAAAGCGCCTGGGCTCGATAGCTCAAATGCTGCTCCAAACAGTGCTATATATCGCTTCATTACATCCAGGCTGAGAAGCTAAAATGCCGCATGAAATGCTTCTATGTGTTGGTGGCTCAAACTTTGCAGGACACACTGCAATGTGTCGCAAAAAACACCTGGGTTCAGTGGCTCAAACGCTGCTGGAAACGCTGCAATGTGTAACAAAAACCACTCTGGTTTGGTGGCTCAAACACCACTGGAAATGGGGCGATGTGTCACTAAAAAATCACCAGGGCTCAGTATCTCAAATGCCGTTGGAAATGGTGAAATATGTTGCTAAAGTACACAGGTTTGGTGGCTCAAACACTGCTGGAGACGCCACTGGATACAGTGCAGTGTGTCATTAAAAACCGTGATGTGTCATTAAGAAACACCTGGGTTTGGTGGCTCAAATGCCGCTGGAAAGCTAATAAACATCCAGCTTCGTTGTTTGTTGGTCTCAAGCGGTGTTCTGGAGCTTAGCAGCCATGTTGCCTGGGTGTCATGCCATCCACCATCCCCTCCACTTCTCAGGGGCAAAGTCAGCTTACGTACCATGTCACTTAAGAAATCATGATATATGTATGAAACAAATTATAGACGAAATGTAAAATGCCCTTTAAATTTGACTTTTTTAGGGTCCAGAACTACTGAGCAAGTATGTTGGAGAGTCTGAAAGAGCTGTGAGAGAGGTAAGTATTTTTAATTTCATTCCAATAAAAGATTTACAATGGTTTGCCAATACTGTTGAGTTAAAATTATGCAAGCTGAACCCTGTAAACGCATCCAAACTATTTTTAGTTGCTAACGACCTGAGGTGTAATTTATGACATGAACAAGTGCTGTATTTCCTGTGTATGTTTGTGCTGAGAATGATTCATTTGTCCTGTTAAAGATTTGTCCTGTTTTTCTCTCTTCCATTGTTGCTAACTCTGCTTGCAGGTGTTTCGGAAGGCGAGGGCCGTCGCTCCCTCCATCGTCTTCTTTGATGAGATTGACGCTCTCGCCAGTGAAAGAGGAAGGTACAGTGCGTTACTTTTAACATCACAGAAAGAGGGCTAGAATTAGAAGAAAAGACGCAATGACTGCAACATTAATGGCAAAAACACAGTTCCTGCCCACTTGATGAATGTTGACTTCCTCTCTGAAAGTTCACCGCTGACCGCTGCCACTGTCCACTGTTTACTATTTTCAGCACTGTGGTCATTCATTGTCCAGCAATGACAAATGCCCAGTCATCGCTGCGGCCTGCTTTAATTTACCATCCCTTGCCTCTGTCCCAGCTTGCCTCACAAAGATTCACTTATGAATGGATGCAGCAAACATCCCAAAAAGTCTGCACGACTGCACTATCAAAGCCAGCCACTCAGTTCCCATGGTGTCCTCTTAGACTTTTGCGGCTTTTCGCTACCGGCAAACACAGAACACAGTCTTGTCCGGAGGCGCTTTAGTGGGATGGCACTGGGAACATCTGTGGCTTAAAGGAAAGAGGACGGGGGGCGGACAGAGGACACAGACCGGAGGAGCACAAACACTTCATTGTGCCCGTCCGCGGCAGATGGGGAAGGCTAAATATGCAGCATGCTTCCTGGTAAACCAGTCGATGAAACTAAATGTTGTAGGAAGGAGCACAGAAAGGCCAACGGGCTGTCCCTGTAACTTCTACGTGGGCTCTCAGTCAGATGCTTTAAAGTTATACAGCGTCTGAGAAACAACATATCTTTGTTTTTGTTAAACTGATTCTGATCATGAAATGTTGAATTATATCTCAACAGTTTTTGTTAAACAGAAAAGTATACTATACTATTCCATCTGATCTTTTCTTATTAGAGTCACCACCTTTCATTAAATGTTCTCAGAGCAGGGTTTCCTGATATCCAGTATACAGTATGGTATGTTACCAACCAGAGGTGTAACTGTTACATTGATTCATTGATTATACATTAATATACATTATATTAATTACCTCCTTCTCTGTCAGGACTCAAACTAGCATTATAATTGTTGCTGTTAGTAGTATTAATATTACAGCCACAACATCCAATGTCACTGTTGCCATGGCTACAGTCATTACTACAACTATTACTACTGCTTGTTGGGATTTATCCCTCTGTGTCGATTTGACGCCATATCTACGCTGTGGCCTGACGTGCACCTCCCCGGAAATATAACTACACGTTGCAGCGATAATTGGTGTGCCAGTGATTTGTGCCACCTGTGCCAGCTTTTAATACTTTGTCTCACTTCCAGTGTCTTGTTTTGGTTCTTCAAGATGTTTTATATTTGGGCAAACCCAAACTTCGGTGAATCTAGACTAACCAATTTTAAACGCCAAAGTGACACACCAACACAGACAAACTAACTGATCGTGGCAGCGGTAGACCAGCAGCTTCTGTTTTCAGCTATTTTAGATTGCTGTTTTCTCAGTAGAGTCTGGCTTTCAGGAGAGTGATGTAATGGCTTCAGTTTACCATCGGAAATTACCGTCTGACAGCAAGGTATAGAGGTGAAAATCTTTTAAATTTAACGTTGACTTTAACTGATATTGATTTTTTTGGTGGCTAAAACACATTTTGTTTCATCCACTTCCACAGCAGTACATTACAGCTTCTATGTTGGACTCCATCCTGTTTCTCCAAACTGGGAACATGCCTACTGACATCTAGGCTCAACCCCAACACACCCCTTATCCCCACCACTTAGCCCTTACGCTTCCATTTTGCACATTTACGTCTAGGGTCAGGGTTTCCCACACATTGTTTATTGATTTTCAATTTTGCCGCTGGACCATTCTCTAGGAGTGAGTGGGTTTTCTCCGGGTACTCCGGCTTCCTCCCACAATCCAGAGACATGCAAGTGCGTGTGAATGGTTGTCTGTCTCTATGTGTCAGCCCTGTGATAGTCTGGTGACCTGTCCAGGGTGAACCCCGCCTCTCGCCCAATGCCAGCTGGGATAGGCTCCAGTCCCCCAACAGACCCCTAACAGGATAAGCAGTTACGGAAAATGAATGAATACAGTTTGGTAATTCATCACACCACACTCTCAGCGTGCAGAGTGGAGTGTACTCTGGGCACAGACGAAGCAGTGAAAGTGAAAGTTAACCGTTCATTGCGCTGGGTGTTAAAGTTTGCATTCACTTGCATCTGCAGCAGCTGCTTTTCTCAACTATAGATCTGATCTTATCAGCTCTGATCGGATCGACTGATCAGTTATCCACCCTGTAACTCAAACTCCACAAACTGCTGCTGAAAAAAAACTCATGAAGCGTTTCACCTTGGCTGTGTTCAGGGACCTGCAAAAACCTCAGAATTTAGAGAGGGGACTCAGAATGATAAAACCAGCTACAGCCACACAGTTCTGTGGGAAGCTATGGATAAGTACCTCATACAGCCCCACTTCAAAAGATCCAAACTATCCCTTAAAGTCTTCCAAACTTCCAAGCCAGGCTGTTCAGTCGACAGCACTTTAGAGAATGTGTTTCCTGAAGAAACCTGGAACACAGACTTTATACTTTGATGTTCTGTGCTGTCTGGACTCATTTCCAACGTACAGAATACGTCTCTATTGCAACTTGTCTTCATCAGTCAGTATTTTTTGCCGGTGGGACTGACATGTTCTGTCTGTATTTATTATAGTGATTGAACCCTCACCCCTCGCCCCCGCCCATTTTTATTTTGATGTTCAACTTCATAAATGCACTCTGGTGCTCCTCACAGCTACAGCCAGCTTTCAGCAGTAATGCAGTATAGCGTGAGAGTCTGTCAGCTGGCTGCGATGGACGTGGGGCTGGACACGCGCCTCAAGGCCACTCGCCATTAAAAAAAAAAGCACTTAGCACTGAACTATAAATGTTATTTATTGGTCTTCACTTCCTGCCATGTTTAATCAATGAAGTGGCTCACGCACGCCGGCAAGAATTCAAAACTGTTGACACAACCAGACAGCCTTGGCTGTACAGTGTACGTGTGTGTTGTTTTCTTTTTTTTTTCCTCTCGAGGCAGGAGATGAGAAGCACCTGTAAATCTGTCAGCCTACCTGCCACGAGTCCAAACTGGTGGAATGATATGAAGAAGACAGGAAGAAGACAGGAAGACAGGCAAACTGGGGGAGACGAAAACAGACAGTGAATGTTAGACAGATGCAGAGACTGACAGATGATGAAGACAAAAAATGCTCAGGATTGACCGAATGAAAATAAACTGACGGAGAACCTAGAATAGAAAAGATAATTATGAGAAATGAAAGACAATTGTTAGATTTGAAAAGAACAATTCATAAAAGAGAGTCAAATGTTTCAATGGAAGCTTCTCTCCCTCGCTCCCTTTTCTGTCACCCTCATCTTTCTCTATAGTGTGTCTTTCTGACATCCTCTCTTTCTCACCACCTTTATTCTTTTCGTCCCATATTTTTGCCCTCATCTTCTTTCTCTCTGCAGTTCATCTCTCTGCCCTCCTTTCCCTAATCCTCTTCCCTCCTTCCTTTTCTCCCCACTATCTCCCCTCACCCAAACTTTCTCCCCCTCCCTCCCTCTCTCCCTCCTGCTCTGCCTCCATATCTCAGTGACAGAGCTCCTTTGTGTTCCTCTGCGGCCTTGTCTCTGCTAATGACGTCTGGCACTTCCGCTGGCCCTGTCAACAGAGACTGTGTGTGTGTCTGAGCTGAGAAGGGTGGCTGTCTGCACTGCGTTATGGAAAATAACCACCTTGTAATGCACTGACTAACTCGCTGATGAGTTTCTTAAAGGATAAAAGCTGTTGATATTCTATATTATATATTTCCTACTGGCAACACATGTTATTCCCCTGTGCCATACAGCTCCATTGCTCCAAAAGCTATTAAAAAAAACACATAAATGAGACACACTGCTGCAGTGGGTGACATGTTCTCTCATTACCATGAACTCAAACACTTGTTTACGCTGAGTACGCCATCCTGCTGCCCTAAATACTCACTAGAGCATCAAATGTGTATTAATCCGCTGCTGAAAATAGTCCCTGTAACCCTGTTTGAGTAACATTTGCTACAAACCACAATGCCCAGCTGTTTTTGGAAATTATTTAGCCTCATTTAGCACTCATTTAGGGGCTCTATACAAAAGTCACAGCATATGAGTTGTCTGCACATGGTTCTCAACATGGAGGTGCCTGAGCTGGTGGCTAGCAGCTAAAAGTGCTAACTCGATAACAAGCACTACAAAAACGCAACACTGCTAAAAGAGCTAATGATGTTAACCAAGGGGGAACTGCAGGGTGGATGCTACGCTTCTGTGATGAAGCCAACCACGTATCAGCAGTGACCTTTGAATGAGGGCAGTGCAAAGCCGTGGCGATGAGCTAGCTGTTGGGATACTGACATGAGCTAAAATGCTGACGTGGGCAGACGGGCATGTCAAAAAAAACAAAAAAAAAAACACAGAAAAGCTCAGATTACAACACACACAGAAGTAGCGTGACTTGATTCTTTGCTCTGGCTCATAGCGACTTGTCAGCACATAGAGTTAGCATTAGCATAGTGACAGTATTGACAGCAAACATGGGAGATGCTAACCGAAAACTTTGAGCTTCCTTCCACTGTCTACCAAAAATCTGATCATAGTAGGTATTACTGTGTTTCACAACTGTTAACACTGTGTCAGGCAGTTAGCCCACAAGCTAACGAGCTAAACAAACAACATAAATAAAAGATCCTAATGACACTTAGTAGCATTTGCTAGTTGCAGATTTTGTTGCACAGCAGACTCCTCATCTGAGTCTGGGTCTGACAGAGGCTCAAACATTTATGGCTGAATTTATGCCTCTAACACCAACATTAGCCATCTTGATGCGCACTGCTCTTTCACTGGTCAACATAGCGCAAACAACACTGGAGAAAGCAGAAAGCAAAACCTATCTCAAGCAGTTACCAGTGGGATGGATGTGTAAAGGCTCACTAATATTCCAATGTTATTCCGAGTTTTACAGTTTCCCGAATTTGATACTGGTCATGTAAACAGCATGATCGTTTGGATTTTCCAAATTAGGCCTTATTCCAAATGTAGCATTTCCTGATGAAGACGTGGGATATGTCAGAATTATTTTAGCTTTAGGAGTGTTCTTTGAACATGTATTCAGCACATTCGTAATATACATCTCAACATGGCGTCTTAACTGTTTACAGCCAGCTGATGCGTTGTCATGGATATGCTGTACACAAACCAACTCACCAACAGTTTGCAAGGCTGGCGTAGAGATGCATGCCCAAAAAAGCCCACATATCTGGTCAGAGGAAGAAACACACCTACTTTTAAACACGATGAAAGAAATGGGCATCAACAGATTGCTGGATAAATATTGTGACGTCAACCTTTTGAAGAAGGTGGTTGAAGGAATGAAAGAGGGAAGCTCATTTTGCATGGTTGGTTGTGGTGGAAAACTTTGAGGAATTTGCATAGGAGCACAATGGCATAAGTGACAGCTGTTCCACTTTTCCATACTGTATGTTGACATGATAGACGAAATGTTGGGGCACGTTAATCAGCGTATGCACAACTGCATGTAAATGGGAATATTAATGGAATATACATTTTCATTAGCCATGTAAACAGCTTTGTCTTTTTCGGAATAAGGGCAAAAAGCAGAATATTTTGTGCATGTAAATGTAGTTAATGAGGAGGAAAGTGCAGATCTGCTTCCAACCCCTTTTCTGAAATGTTCTTTTACCTTCTCTTTGGCTAAACCATGTTATAAAACATACTTTAAAACATGTAAAGTGGCAGCCTTTAAATATCATATATTGCACACACACAGTATCTGATGCTGGTCTTTAAGTATGGACACCTGGGTGGGATAAACTCCAGCATTTCCAGACGTTGCTAAATTGGCAGAACAGAGGTACAGCATTTACAAGTCCAAACAAGGTGACATATTTGTGAACTTTGTCTAAAGGAAGGCTGCTTTATTTGAGAGGGATGACGTGTTTTCAGTTGCAGTTCAGTGGGACGTCATTGGCAGGAAAGCTCCCTTCTGCTGCCAAAGCCTTTTCTTTCTTGAAGAAGAATTGCGCTAATGAAAGAACCTGCCATCAGAGTGTCAGTGAAACTATTCAGAAGTTCTCTACAAGTATTCAAGAACTGGGTAATTTTCATCATTACTTAATAAAGCAAATATTAGAGACAAATGGGTAAAGTTTGAGGCAGGGGTTGAGTTGGACGTTGCATGCTGCTATATATTTTTTTATCATCCATGCACTCATTCATCAATCACACATTGATTTTAAGTTTTCTCTCTTTCCCTTCATCATTCCATATGTCCTGTTTCTATGCATTTTATCTTTCCACCCTTGTTCCCTTCATTTTTTTACAGCATGCTGTCCGTCCTCCCACCGACCCATTCATTTATCTGTAATTCATCACTTTACACCATCAATAACTTCCTTTTTACCCAGTTTCTGACCAGTTTACATTTGTTTCTTTCCCTTTCCATCATCCATCCTTCCATTGTTGTCTCTCCACACATCAATCTCTTCTCTATTCCCCCCTTTTTTGATCTTGTCCACTCATCTATCTTCTGTTCTCATCCACCCCTTCAGCTCCACGGGCTCCGGCGGTGTAGGCAACCGGGTCCTGGCTCAGCTTCTGACAGAGATGGACGGCATCGAGCAGCTCCGAGACGTCACTGTGCTGGCCGCCACCAACCGGCCCGACATGATCGATAAGGTAAACAGACGCCGGCTCTCTGTCTTCATCTCTCCTTCCTCTTCTCTGGTCCCTGATTGATAAGGCTGAGGAGATGTTGTGTGTTTGTCTGTCTTGTCTCCTCCTTTCCCTCCCTGCCTCTGTGGTACATGATTGATAAGGTTAAAGGTCGCCCGCTCTGGTCTGTCCACCTCGACTCTTTGGATGTTGTCACTGGGTTGTTTTGGCATGGTGGAATTAGATGCTAGAGCGTTTGTACAGCTTGTGTGGTTTGGGTTTTCAGATGTAGTGTTTGGAATCATTGATTATATAGTTTAGTTTGATTGGCTAAATGGTTCCAAGTCATTTTCTGTCGTCTTCCAGGAGATCAAACAGTGGTTCATCATGACTGAAAAGGAAAAATACATAACTTTAAAACACTTAAGGTTTATTGGTATGTACGGCATCAGATTGTGTGCAAACTCCAGAAATTAGTTGTGTTTTGATCAAGAACATCAGCATCTGTTGCTGCCAACATTCACACTTCTCCGACAATTTATCCTGACCTTTCGTCATATAACGAATGTATCACATTTCAGGTTTGAGGTTTAATTAGGCTCAAACCAATGATCACCTACAACAGAGTTACGATTTCACTCATGACACAGTCGATTTAAAACACACAACAGGTGGGACTAAATCATTTGTCTATACTTTCTTTGTTCTTCCTCTCCATGACAACCCCCCCCCCCCCCCTCCATTTTCTATTTTTCTACCCTTTTATCTCCTTCTCTTCCTCTTCCCATCCACAAAAGCTTTCTTTGGTCTCTTATCCACCCATCTCCGTCCTAATGAAATTTCCTGAGTGCTGATCAAAGACGGAGTCTGTGGCTTGTCAAAAAGGACACAGGAAAGGAGGATGTCGCGGTGCTTCTTAAGCTCCTGCTCAGGCAGCCGTCTGTCTCTGTCTTTCTTCCAGTTTTTGTCTTTGGGTCTCCTCTTCAGCTTCCTTTTAAATGTACCTTAAAATCTCTTGTGCTGAATCATAATAATAACAGCACCTAAACCGATGGTGTGACTGCTTTTTAACATAAATTTTAGTTTTACCTAAAGAGCGATTCTTGGAGTTCACTTGGTGATAATTTTTGTTCATCACGACTATCAGTCATATAAATATTTTACCCACACCTTTTATAATAGACATTTGGATAACACAAGTTCTGGTAAGACCAAAGTCGCCGTTTCATGAGACTGCTGTCCATGTACCTGAAAAATGTTTGGGATGATGCTGTTACACTTACGTTTATAAGAAAACTCTAAGAAGTCTGTGTGCTCCTTGCCCTTGATCATCAAGAATTTTAAAGACGAAAGAGATTTGAATAATAACTTCTGTTCTCACATAGGGCTGCAACTTATTTTCATGATCTATTAATCTGCCAATTATTTTCATGATCGTTCGACTAATCGTCTAGTCTAGAAAATGTCAAAAAATGTGAAAAATGCTCATCACAAAACCCAAAGACTCTTGATTTATCATTATAAATGACAAAAAGCAGCAAATTCTCACATTTAAGAAGCTGGAACCATCAAATATTTGACAGTTTTGCTTAAAAAAATACTGAAATGATCAATCAGCTATCAAAATAATAACTTACTTAGCCATTTATACACCTGCATGCAGTGTTGATACATAAGAATTCTTGTGCAAAAAAGCACTCAGTCAAGTCAGAAATAAACAAATAATAAATAGTAAAAGATAAAGTACACAGAAAGAGGTATAAAAAGTATAATTAATACAAGAATAAAGTTTGTCTGTAAGAGTTCCGTGACATTGACACAGGGGAGCGTCATCCACAAGTCATAGTAAAGTACATTTTCTCATTGTGTATTTTGAGCTATTGATGAAGATTTTTCAATTACAATCTATTCATCTCCAGACATTTTCCACTCACATCATTTTATCCTTTTCTACTTCAATGGTATACATAATAATCACTACATGTCTCAACTAAGCTAGAGCACAAAGAGTCGTCACATCTGCACTTCTTTTATATAGACTGGTAACTGCACATTGCATATGTGTCAGCACTTTGAGATACTCCTTAGAGAAACCCTTCAAATACAAATTTTGGGTAACCCCCCTCCCCAAACACTCCACTCCCGCCCCTCTTCTAGCCCACTTGTGGAGAACTGATCCATCGCTGTGGTGGGGGAATGACAGCAACTTCCTCCACCTCTGCAACTGGTTGCCGTCTCATTTCAAACTCCATTAGCAGTGTGGCGGCTGAGAAGCAGCCTGAGAGTGTGTGTGCATTTGTGTGTATATCTGAGAAGGAGAGAGATGCTTAAAGAGGAGAAGACAGAGAGAAAGAAACTCTCATAACAGTAGGGAGGGGGTCAAGCCCCTGGGTGGACAGATGGGAAACCCCAGGCGTCCTTCCACAAGCCTCCCTCTCAGGAAGTGGTCTCCCAGGCAGCTGAGAAATCAGATTACCTCCCGCCTGCTTGCACCCCCTACTGTGTGTGTGTGTGTGTGTGTGTGTGTGTGTGTGTGTGTGTGTGTGTGTGCGCGCGCGCAAGTCATTTGAAGAGAAACCTGTGACATACATTGGGAACGGAAGCTGCCAAATGGACAGATAGGCGCCCCGCTTTCACCCCTCCACCCACTATGGTTTGAGCACCCTGCCTGCCTGCACCGCCCCCCTTTGCCACCACCGACACTCACTGTCAGTTCACACCGGAGATGGGCGGGCATTTCCATACCAATAGCAGGATATGATGGGACAAATGAAGATTAATGGGACGCTGGGGTGTCAATGAAGTAATTGTCAGCTCTTGGTGTAGCAGAGGAGGCTCCTGGGGGCCTCAGCTGTTTGATGGACAGAGTGGGAGGGATGGAGAAAAGAAAAGAGGGGAGAAAGTGGCGTTTACTTAAGTTTGAAAGGAGCAGGCCTGATGTCCATCTTTCAACCGCTGCTGCAAGACAGAGTGGATTTCTGCTTCTTGTCAAATTTAAACAGGGTTGTTTTGAGTTGGGAAACTGTTGCCTCATCTGATTCAGACTCTGCAGAACGTTGTAAATATAAACTTAAGTGGCCTGAGGTTGTATTAATACCTAAAGCTTAACTCTTATAACTAAAACTTCCTGTCCTTTTGCACAAAGTCTTCCAACTTCCTCCGGCCTTTGTATTACATCAGTGACAAACATGAGCAGGTACGCAGCAATATACAGACACAATGTGACTAATAACAGCTGAATCACATCCTAACAAACGGGTGACAAAAGATAACAAATGGATGGTTTTCACACAAGCACACAAAGTCCCACAACTTCCTCTGGCTTTGTTTCACAACATATAAATGGCACATTATTCACAACTGCAAACTAACCAGAATAATCTGTTCTCGTGCCAAACACTTGAACACATATCGCCCTCCTTATCATGTACAGCAGTGATGCTAAATCTACGGCACACGGGCCAAAACACAATAAACAATAAAAAATGAAGCAGCTCTAGAGCTGCCCCTTGAAAGTCAGAGATTTGAATCGTCAGTTGGACACCCTTCAGTCGACTGAGATTGCTTCAAGTTGAGCAGTTGGGGGTTCTTTTTTTTGTTTTGTTTTTTGCTAGTTAGTGTTCTTTTGGGGCCATTTCGGTCTCCACATATTGAACACTCTTGACTTTCATGCTACTCGACAACAGCAGACATGATGCAGCAGCACAGAGGAGTGGAAACTTTCCACTGCAAAACTCTGAGAATAAATTACCTTCTCTCCTTTGCTTGGAAGTGGTGAATTTACAGCTCACAGATACTCAATACGACACAGTCTCTGGCTTCTGTTTGATATCTAGTGTTGGACAAAAATGTTGCTGCAAAGTTCAGATCCATCGTTCGCACTGTTAGCTTGTTTGCTATATTACATGAATACCGCTGTCACACTGAATGTCCCGCTGAGCTCCACACAAACTTTAAATGGAAAAATTAAAGAAGAATCTGATTTGACTGACATAATTCTGAGACCGGTGCAGCCCTAGTTGATTGATACTGGGATTTTTTTTTGTACTTTGAAGGTGCCAGGGTGTGTAAAATAATATCAAAATGAAGCTTGTTTATATAGAAACAAAAACAAGTGTAAGGGGAGGATCTTCTAATAGCCCTGTGCCAGAATTCACTGTTCTTCAAATACTTGCATATCATTTGCGGTTCATTCAGAATGGACCCACGACCCACCTTTGGGCTGCAACCCACCAGTTGGGAACCACTGTTCTAGACCACCTATTAGTGTCTTCAAATCCTAGAAATGCCCCTGCGTACAACTGACCTGCATGGGGCTGCTGCAACTGGATTTGCCTCTTGGCTAAAACTAGTTAGGACAGCAAATGTCCAAAGCTTGAAACAGGCAATTCATTCATTATACATTTAAATATTATTGATGTTTGCTTATAAACCAGCCCCAAGCTTGCTGTCATTTTGCAAAGGTGGCCCCATGGCAAAGCATGTTATCTGTATCTTGGTTCATGCAGAAGTTAATCCCCTTGGTGAACAAAAAAAGTTTATGATATTTACATATTTTGTTCAGCAAGACAGTCTTCACAAATCAACACCACCTTTATCATTTTTGAAGAGTAAATGCAGTCGCCAGATGTAAAAAGCTATCGTTAGGCTATAAACAAAGTAAACTACTGTTGCATGACCTCGTCACCACCACAACGAGGCTGTAAAGCCATGTTTCATTGATGACATTATGAAGTCTCTTTTAGCCTTTTTTAAGACACCCAAAAACTTCAGAATTCACGAGTGAGGTATTTATTAAAAAATGTGAAAGTCTCTTAAGCTTGTGTTTACCATAGACCTAATTTCAGGCATCAAACTAAAAACCCATTCAACAAACAACCACTGACTTCAGGACACAAGAACCAGGAGTGCTGAAATGCTAACTCATTTCCAGGTTTAAGGACTCATTAATGCATCACTCTCTTGCGGAAAGTAATATAAATATAGAAGGTGCAGTGGCCAATGTAGTAAGATTATTCCGTTCAGCTACATGTAGAGTCTACATGATGACATGTCACCAAACAACCCCCCTCGCACCTCCTACTGCCCCCCTCCACCTTAAAAAAAACTTCTTACACTTCCTCTTTCCTTTGTATTGCGCCAATCACCCAAGCCCACCTCTGACCCGCCACGACCGGGCTGTGGTGATTGATTAGCACCACCAGGAATATTTATCCAGCCTGTTCAGTAGGAAGAACCCCCTGTCACTGTGTTTGTTGAGCAGTTGCCCATCTTGTTGACTGCACAAACAAACATTCACACACTCAAGCGAGAGATCCCTTTTACCATTTGTAGTTAGTCTAAAGCCACATTTTGACTTTTGTGTTGTTGTTGTTTGTTGGTGTTGTTGGATTATTCATCAGGATAGATAATGTTGGTTTGTTGTTTCACTGAATAGCCTATTTGTTTACCCTGATGTGCGCCGGGCTTCATCCATGCTATCAGGAGGCAGGACTGCTTACAGTGGGGAAGATTGCAAGCAGATGGGTCTTTGTTTAGGACCAGAAGTTCCCAACTGGGCTCTTATCAGATCAAGGGGCGAAACCAAAACAGAGGCAATAGAGTTAGAGTTGAAAGGACAGTATGTCTTTCCTGATTCTCTATAGGAACAATTAACATAACTGCATTCCACAGGTGTCAATGGATGATGAGACGACAGGGATTTGACACTTATGATAACATAAATAACAGTCAATATGCATTTCCAATGAGGATATAGGATGGGAAAAGAATGGGATAGTTTGGATTTTTTGAAGTGGGGTTGTATCATGTACTTATCCATAGTGTATTACCTACAGCAGATGGCAGTCTGCATATCCCCAGTTTGGAGAAGCAGACATGAGTACCACCACGAAGCTTCGCAATCCACTGCATTGGACGGGGGCAG